GAAAGCTTGCATGTACAATACCCAAAGGATGAAAAAGCCAACTAACTGCACCTAGAAAATAGCAAATCAGGCTTTCCAAAAAACTCTAAGAGTGGAAAAATAAGTTTTATGGACAAGTACTATTGAACTTCAAAGAACAGGACTCTATATTCTGTAAGAACTGTTCCAGAGCATAGAAAAAGATGGACAGTTTCCTACCATTGCAAAACGCTCACAAAACTTGAGAGACAAAACTAGAGCAGACACACACACAAACTCTAAACTAAGCAGTCCATGAACAATATGCAAAAATCCAAAAATAACCAATTAAGAAGCTTCAGCAAAGGAAACAATCAACAGAGTAGAAGAGACAACCTACAGAATGGAAGAAAATATTTGCAAACTATTCATCCAGCAAGAGACTAATATTCAGAATATACAAGGAATTCAAAGCACTCAACAGCACAAGAGCAAAAAAACAAATAATCCAATTTAAGAACAGGTAAAGAACCTGAATAGACACTTCTCAAAAGACATGCAAATGGCCAAGTATATGAAAAAATGCTCAGTGTCACTCATCACCAGGGAAATGTCCATCAAAACTACAATGTGGTATTGCCTCACCCCAGTTAGAATGGCTGTTATCAAAAAGACAAAAAATAACAAACGCTAAAGACACCAAGAAAAGGGAACTCTTATACATTGTTAGTGGAAATGTAAATTAGTACAACCATTAGGAAACACAGTATGGAGGTTTCTCAAGAAACTAAAAACAGAACGACCATATGATTCAGCAATCGCACTATGAGTATTTATCCAAAGGAAAGGAAATCAGTATACCTATGAAATATCTATACCCCCATCTTTAATGCAACACTATTCACAATAGCCAAGATACAGAATTGACCTAAATGTTCATCAACAGATAAAGGGATGAAGAAAATGTGGTATATATACATCGTGAAATACTATTCGGCCACAAAAAGAATGAAACTCACAGCAACATGGATACAACTGGAGAACATTATGTTAAGTGAAATAAGTCAACCACTTCTATGTAGATAAATACTGCATGTTCTCACTCATAAGTAGGAGCTAAAAAAAAAAAAACCCCTGAGCTCATAGAAGTGAGGAGTAGAATTATGGTTATTAGAGGCTGTGAAGGATTGGGGAAAGGAAAATCAGGAAAGGTTGGTTAATGGATACAAAATTACAGCTAGATAGGAGAAATAAGTTCTATTGTTCTAAAGCACTGCTGGGTGATTATAGCTAACAATATTATATGCTTTTAAATAGCTAGAAGAGAGGGCTATGAATGTTTCCAGCACAAAGAAATGTAAAATGTTTGAGGTGATGGATATGCTAATTACTCTGAATTGATCATCACACACTGCATACATGAAGTATCACTCTGTACCCCATAAATATGTAAAATTACGTGTCAACTAAAAATAAAAACTCCCAATATTAAATTATTAAATAACAACTGACAATAATTAAAATAGTAAATAAAATAGGAGAATCTTTTAATCATCCATAAATACTCTAAAAGTATTTTTAAGTGTTTGATAGAATTTCATTTCCATTCTTGACTTAAGCACACTGACACATAATATTCCAAAACAAAAACTTTACAATTAGAAGGAAATTTCCTTAACCTGATGAAAGGACGTTTACTCAAAACCTACTGATACACCATACTGAATGGTGAAATACCAGAAGCATTTCCATTATTACTGGGAACAGGATGTCTGCTATCACTATCTTTCAATAGCGCACCAAGATCTCGCTCCTGCAGTAAAAGAAAAAAAAGAAGGAAAGAAAAAGGAAGAGAAGGAGAAGGGGAAGGAAGAGACATAACATTGAAAGGAAAAAGACTTATTCCTCATTAGAAAATCCAAAAGTAACAAAAGCAAAATAATGAAAGCGATCAGTTAGGTGGCTTGATTAAAGACCAGCATGTAAAAACCAAAGCTTTCTGATTCACCAGCAATGATTAACTTAAAAATAAATGAAAAAAAAGATTTAATTGCTAATACTCCCTCAAAACCATAAAACAAGTAGGCAAAAAATTTAAAAAATGTTAAGATCTATATATAAGGCTTCAGTGAAGTACACAAAAAACTTAAAACAAATTTACCATGTTTTAAGAGAAAAAAAAAATTTTTTTAATGTTGATTCCTATCTAAGAAAAGGATCTTTCTTGAGAGGCTGAGGCAGGCAGATCACAAGGTCAGGAGTTCGAGACCAGCCTGGCCAATATTGTGAAACTCCCTCTCTACTAAAAATACAAAAATTAGCCAGGTGCAGTGGTGTGTGCCTGTAGTCCCAGCTACTCAGGAGGCTGAGGCAGGAAAATCACTTGAACCCGGGTTGCAGTGAGCTGAGATCATGCTAATATACTCCAGCCTAGGTGACAGAGTGAGACACAGGAAAGAGGAGAGGAGAGGAGAGGGGAGGAAAGGGGAGGGGAGGAGAGGGGAGGAAAGGGGAGGGGAGAGGAGAGGGAAGAGAGGAGAAAAAGAAAGAGAAAGAAAGAGAAAATAAAGAAAAGGATCTTTCGTTTTTATTTAGCATTAACTTAGAAGTCCTACTAACCCCAATAAGAAAACAAAAATTTTAAAGATTAAAAAGAAACAAAACTGCCATTATCTAGGGTTTATACCTTTTATCCATGGAAAACTACAAAGGATCCTTAGAAAGATCATTAGAATAAGAGAGCTCAAAAAGATTTTACTAGATGGATTCCACACATGAGAACATTTTTTACAGCAAAAATCTTAAATTTCAATTAAATATCATTTATAATAAATAGAAATGGAGAGAACAGGCATGCAGGAACATAATCAATAAAAGATGGTCAAGAGCTCCATGGAGATAATTATGAAACTTTAATGAAGGACATTAGAAAAAGCCTAAACATGGTAGCATGATACATTTATGGACATAAAGACTTAATTTTGTAAAAATAATGATTCTTTCTAAAACAACCCTGAAATTCAATGTAAATCCAGTATTAGCTCAGGAAAGCTACTAAGAGCACTATTGTCCAAAGACAGTACTCAAAGTTTACATGCGATTTAGACTAAGGCAAACTTAATAAATCCTTTACATGGTATAACTCTGTATCTTAAAATAAAAAAAAAAGCATGGTGATGAGAAGTCAAACTCAGCCAGGCACCATGGCTCATGCCTGTAATCCCAACATAGGCATGAGCCTTGGGAGGTCAAGGTGGGTGGATCACTTGAGCCCAGGAGTTCCACAACATGGTGCAATCCTGTTTCTACAAAAAAATACAAAGATTAGGCAAGGTGGCACACCTTGACTCCCAGCTACATGGAGGCTGAGGCAGGAGATCAACTGAGCCCAGGGGAAGGTCAAGGCTGCAATTAGTCATGAGCATGCCACTGCACACCAGCCTGGGTGACACACTGAGACCTTGTCTCAAAAAAAAAAAAAAAAAAAAAAAAA